AATAGAAGATATTATGAAATAAAATACATACAATCGAACTAAATTTTCTTTTGGTTGATTTGATGCAATTAGACCTTGTTGTTGTTTCTCATTTTTCTTCTCCACTGACATGATTGAAAATAATTATTTTTTTCTTTTTGTTGAAATATTGTAAAAGAAAGCTATTTGGAAGGAACGATGACGATTTTATAAATACGATTCGTAACGAACAGTCACTGCTGCTGCAAAACAAATCGGTCGACTAAATGAAGAAAAGTAACAAGAAACCTTCATATTTATACCACGAGGAAGGAAAAAAATCGAGATAAAGAAAAAGAATAGAAATAAAAGAATAAAAGGGTTATTTCTTTTTTATGTTTCTTTGTGCGTGATATATATGCATGCTTTCTCAAACATTCACGTAATCAGAAAGAAAGAAAAACTACGAGCCCCATTACTACTACATATATCTATTCTTCGCATTTTATAAAAGAACAAAGATAGAAAAAGATATGGATGAGGGAAAAGACATATGTTTGTCGAAAAAAGAAAAAAAGAAGAAAGTAAAAATAGTTTTGGAATGTTAAGAAAAATATAAAAAGAACGATGATTAAGAAAAAAAAAGCGTAAGACATCAGTGTATATTTTTCTACGTGCTAAAAGTACGCAAAAACAAAATGTTGGGTTTGTTAATATAAGACTAACTGAGTATATTTCGTCCTTCGATAATGCATGAGTTATGTACATATCGAATAATGAGCATGATAATTTAGCTTTCAAAAACGAAATAATGCAAATTAGTCACAACTTTTTGTACACTCATTCATATAAGTATTTGCAATAGAGAAAGATGTTAATCAGAAAAGTTATATTATAGAATACAATACATTCGTTGATAGGTGTCAGACTTCATGTCCGCTTATTCTATATTATAAGAAAAATCATAAGCAACAATGATCTTCTACTGTTTAAGTGACATAAATGTTTTTTTATTCTAATTAGCATGATCTGCAAAGACAGATTTGTTCGTAATGAACTTTGATGCTCTTGAAAACTATTATCAAAGAATAAATAACAAAAATCGTGTCGTTGAAGTGTTTTTTTTTTTGTTAACGCAGATGTTATTTTCATTATGAATTGTTTAAAACTAATGTTGGACTATAATTTTTTGTTAGACGATCGTTTATATTATTCTTTATGTTCGAAAAATACGATGTTTTGATGTTCGTATAGCAAGTAATGAAATTACAAACAGTTACACTTTATTGAATTTTTATAATTGCATTTTATCATAATCGGAAATTAATGTTATGATATTTAAGTTGGATTCTTGTTAATTTTAGTCAGTATAATGGATGTCCTGAAGTTACTAAGATTGAGGGAAAGCGACAACTCAAAAGATAGCCTTGAGAATATTGAAAGGAGAAAAGATAATCGTTGTTGCGAACATTGCTAAGCAAAACAATGGAAGACAATCGTGTAGTTCTGCCGAAGAAAAAATAAAACTTCGTATGGTTACATTTCCCCGTCTTTTGGCGAAAGACACTACTGGTCAATAGTCAATGTAAAACTAGCTTGTCCTTTCACTTCGATCAGATATTAATTTGAATAGTATTTTTTCTCTTTGGATCGTATTTCAAGTAATTTGAGAACACATATTTAATACTATGACAATAATGATATATTCGAAAGTGTCATTTTTCATGAAATGAGTCAAGGAGAACACGGAAATCTTCAAAAACAATAGATTTTCAAGATGTCATAGATCAAAATAACCAAGTCATTACACAATTATTCATGTTGTCTCTTGTTACAGTTGAAAAAAAATGATAAGAATTTCATTGATCTTGTTTTCACTGAATTTTCTTATTGTAGAGAATCTAATTTTCTTTATTTTAGTTTTAACTAAAAATTTAAAGAAACTTTATAAATAGTCATAATTCAAAATGGGCGTTTCTTTATTGTCCAAAACACTGGTATCTTCATTACTTCTTATTTAGAATAAGTTGATTTTCAAAACAACAAATTGAAATATAAACTTTGGAGAAATTATTGAAATAAAAAAATTTTCTTAAATAATATTTTCTATTGGTATCATATTAAGCTAGGAAGATAGTAAGAACATTCTTCTATGAAAATAATTTATACAGGTGCTTTTTTGAAAGTTTATTTCCATCGTTTGAAAAACAATCGCATGGTCGATGTTGATTGGAGCCCTTTGAATAAATATTTTTCTCTTTCTCGAACATCTCGTGATATGATATATTACTTCAACAAGTTTCATGTGTTTTTTATTATTAAATGTTTAATGTGCTTTTTATCATTCAGATTGAACAATAATTTTTGCTAATTTCCATTTCAACAAATTATTGAAGATTTTTAATTATCGAAACAATCAATGTTACATGCATAGTGATGTATGAATTATTCAAAATGGCTAGTTCTACATGCTGAATACAATAGAGTACTGCACGGATACAACTTTTCGTACCCGACCCGAAGAAGAATTATTTACCCGTACCCTACCCGTACCAATTAGTTTCGTACCCGTATCCTACCCGTGCCCGTTATTTTAGTACCCGTACGCGACTCGTATCTTCTCTTACTCGTAACCGTAACTTCAATATTCACAATTGATCGAAACTTGATCATATCTCTTACTAGTAAAACGAGTTGTAATTTTTGATGCTATAATAGGTCTTATTTTGCAATTTTCATAATGAAGCTTAAGTGTTTTAGAACCAGTTTTTTGTGCATCGTAAGATAGAATTGTTTTACATTGAATACATATTACAAAAGGAATAATATTTTCTTTTTCATCTTGAATACGTTTGAATGACTGCACCATCCAGTACTAGCACCTGTTGGTTTATCACAAGGCTTAAATTTACCACTATCTAACTTTTTTTTAATTGAATCTTTATCAATCACAGACATAATTAATATGCCAAAATCCGCAAAAAACTCAATATATCAAGATGAAATAAAGTAGCAATAAATGAAAGTATTTATCATTTTCTTCGCACGGTTTCATATACATCGTTGATAGTTTCACAGAACGACCAATCATCTATGTGATCACGTATGTCTCTACTAAACGGTAACATTAAAGTTGAGTATAATAGTTCTTACCGATATCCGTTAATTTCGTACCCGTACCCGTTAATGTCATACCCGTGCCTGGATTGCAGTACTCTAGAATACAATGATCAAAAACATCTAATTAATGTGTGTGTTGCATTTTATAGAAAACCTATACTTCAAAAGTAAGCAACATGAGTAACAAGACAAAAAGAACATTTCAGAAATTAAATATCTTTTTGATTTCAGCATCATCTAATTGAAAAAATACAGCATTTAGTTATTGTCTAAAGACAAGATTATGACGAAAGAAAAAAAAGATATTTATATTGAAACCCATATATAAAATCATTCCATTTGTTCTATGAAAACATCTGTATGATGAACTTGTATTCTAATCCTAGTTAGAGAGATATAAAGTACATGAATTATTTTATTTTATATCTATGTGAAATTCACGTAAACAATAAATCGTTATTTCATATCCGAATTGAACTAGACATAATCGTTGATGGAATTAATCATCACAAAAATTGATATGATTTTCAATAGATTTAATTTACACATATCGTCATGGACAAGATCATTGTGTTTTATACAAGAACATTATGATTTAACTAGATATTAATATTTTTGCTCACTTACTATGTCATGCTCTCTTCATCAATGAAACTTTTGGAATAATTTACCAATGTTTGTTTATTTAGGTAGTGAAAAGAGCATGAATAATACGACATTTTACACTACATTTGTAGTTTTTTTTAATGAAATACATTAAAAAGATGAAAATTTATTTATGTTAGTTTCAAAATCGATCCATCAATCTGTAACACTAATTGTGTTATAATAACACAAACATATTACTAATGCTCATTCTGAACTCAAAGCAGTTCGACAGGTTGATTTCTTCCATTGGGTTCAGTACAGCTGCTTTCAGCATAATCAAACTTAAAAGTTTAAGCCAATTCAAGAGCACGTCGTTTCAAAACTGCATCATACACTCCCAATAGACAACTAAATTTACTATTACCTGAAAGTATGAATAGCTATCGAAAGTGATCTTGCAGCAGGAAAACATGAGAAAAAAAAAGTGATGAATTATTTTTGCAAAATATGGTATTCCTGCGATATTTTCAGATACTATGTATGCAATCCTGTTTGATTTAAATATGATCTAATTCAGTATCTATTTCGGTGTTGACCGTAAGATAACTCTTGGGATTGATTTTCTTGTGTTTATATTGGTCTTCCGATATTTTCAATGTAGTCGTTTCTATTCTTTACTTGATATTGAAAAAAGAAACGCCTGACAAGTCTATTCAAGAAGTTATTTCGAAACATAATGATTTACACTCGATTCTATAATCATCAGGCTTACGATTTTGTTCTGACATTTCTAACTATCAAACGGAAAAATGGTAAGTAAATAGATGACGATAGTGTGATTATAGCCAAAGCTTGTGCATAAGTGTTTTCTTTTGTTGATTAGTCAATATACACGCAAGCTCAGTAGACCTACTCTATTTGCATTTATTATGGGTCACAAAAAACCCATCTTTTAGCCATGTTATGTGCCATACACGCTGGCATGGAAGTGATTTACAAAGTAGAAATGATGACTAATAAAAATTCATAAGAGTATCTTTATGTCGTCGATTCGATTCACTTCCTTATTTTGTTATCAATGAAAACGTGATAAATAAACATCATGACGTATGTGCTGTAGAAAACATCCATTTTTCATATTGATACTAGGTAAAATCCAAAATTTCTACTTTTACATGCATATCTTACGTTATATAACAGTATCTTGATGAGTATATATAGTCGTAATATAGATTTATAATATATCAATCACTCATTCTTCTATAAACTTGTATTAACTCATTTATTAGTATAATGTGGGTACCATTGTATCCTCCTGTTGTTACAGTACCACAACAACCACCTTCTTACAATTTAGCCTGTTCGACTAATAATAAACCACCACAAGTACCATATCAAAATATTGCAGTCTACCCAACAACTTCTATAGTATCATTTCAACCTTATCCATATATTATTGCAAATCCACCAGTTGATGTCGTATCACAAGAAAGATCAAAAACTACTCCAATGCAAACTACTACTGCTCTTCAAGCTCAATCTCAACGTACATCTCGTCATTATCAAGTTCGAGAGAAAATTTTTTCACTTGGCGATAATTTCAAAATCAACGATGACTTAGGCAATCATGTATTCACTGTTCGATCAAAATTCTTGTCCATTGGTGATCATTTAATATTAGAAGATCCATCAGGATTGTAAGTCTTCTATAAGTTAAAAAGAATAGCTTTATAATTCAAAAAAAAAACATAACACATACATACTAATATTCTTCTTTTTCTCAATTTTGAATATATATTTTCTTTCTTATTGTTGTAGTCGTCTAATCAAAATTCGTGAAGAAATTCTTCATCTTCATCCTACTTTTCAAATTGTTTCAATGTTAAATGGACAATCTGATAAAGTGTTAGCTAGTATTAAAAAGAAATTCACACTTTTTCGCAAAAAATTTTCGATAAAATCTGTTTACGGTGAATACACCTTGGAAGCATTCGATGTATTTAGCCATTCATTCTCATTAACAAAAACTGGTAGAACTTCGACTATTGACAGTAAAAAGCATTTCTCAATGGCAAACACTTATCTTGTAGAAATAACTGACAATGTAGATGATCCTGCCTTTGTATTGGCTCTTGTCATCGTTATCAATCAAGTCTTGTTTGACAGTTAATCTCTTGATTTTTCATTTATTCAGAAACAGTTCAATAAAATTAAATGAAACTTAAAGAGTTTTTGACAAAGGAAAAAATTTCATGAAACTTTTTATCAACAGTTGATTGTACAAAACTATGCGACTTTAAAATCACTATTTTTGTTTTTTATAACTTGAAATAATTTGTGACTAATTAGAACTTGTATCAGACCTAAGAGTTATATGAAGTTATTCGCATTTGTTTCAATTATTCAACTATTAAATATTAATTTTGAAGTATAAACACAGATTAATTTTACACATATTTTAAATGAAAAAGCATAAGCTAGAGTAAATAACAATTTCCTTAACGATGTGGTTGTGGGTATTACTGTTCTTTTCATTGAGACTCACACTTTCCCACATCTACAGCCACACACATACCCGTACTGCTTTTTGAAGAGATTTTTCCAAAAGTATTTCCCGTCCGGATTCGCTCCACGATTTGAGTTTACCCTAGAAATGGTTGAGTTGTGTGTAGAACTCAATTCTGCATCGAACTCAAGTCGTAAAATGAATCCGGACGCAAAAAAACTCGAATATGGTGTTAACTTTACTTGGCTCAATTTTTTCGTGTGATTCTTTTAAATAAAATATGAGAGGTCATATTTCATCATGAACATGTTGTTTGTCTGTGTCTTGACATATTTGAACGGCCTTAAATCGATTTTAATTTTATTATAAAAATTTTTGTCATTCAAAAACTAAAGAATTTGGTTTTAATCCGATTCAGTAATAGCTGGAACACATTGGACTCTGCATGAACATGTCGGACGACAACATTTATGTGTTGATGCACAATCACCATCACCATTGCAAAGTGGAACTAAATCTTGTGGACGACAAACACGACGACAATGAATGTGTGGATTACGCGACGGACATTTACCTAAACAAAAACGACTATAAATAATCTTTTATTTATCTAATAGGAACAACCTTCGTGTACGACTACATCACCATCTTGGGCTGATCCAGTTGCAATCGAACTGGCGATAATCAGTAAAAACAGAATAGCAATTGAAGGAGTAAAGCCCATTGTAAAGTGAATATGATAATATTCAGTGTCGAGTACTGTTTTCATAAAGTATTTATATACAAAAAATATTGATGGGAAAATAGTCATCTGCTTGCTGTATACTTTAATCTTCGATACGCCCTTAGTATCACGTATTACCTTTCTACGATATCATACAGTTTGTTAAACAGTTATTTATTTTTCAAAAAACGGGAAGAAATTATCGGATGGCATAAATTTGGTAGAAAGACAAATCAAAAGTGTTATTGATGCAGCTTCAGTTCATCCTTTCACCAACAATGCATGGACAATTGACTCTAGCATTCATATTTTCCACTTATATATGAATAGTGCGTGCCAAAGCTGTATTCAGCTCATAATCAGTCGTCAACGTCCCTACCAAGTTTACCAAATCTCCTGATTTGACTAGGAGACTTTTGATTGTTTTTGATTTTCAGTTTCATTTTCCAGTGGCGGATCTACCATGGTGCGGTCGAGGCTCCCGCATCCCCCTTGAAAATTTATGTATATTACATCCTAATTATTTTTATGTTTATGGGATTTATATAGACGAAGAGTGTGCAATTCTCACTATTTTTGAGTTCGTGATGGTTGAATTCTGAAATTAGTTTCGAGAGAAGAACAATAACTCAGATATACATGCTTTTAATAGTTTTATTTCTCTTATCAAAAGTTTTTCTTTTGTCATGCGACATCTATTCACGTCATACAGATGATAAGCACTTGTGAAGTAACAATGACGTAATCAATGATTATGATATTGATTCATTTGCGCTTATTGTTTCACACATTGAAACAATCAACGATTATGACATTGTTCCATTTGAATTCATTGTCTCAGTGATTATTAAATATGAGAGAAAAGTTGTAATTCATGTGTCAAATCTAGCGCAGTGATGTCAATGGAAAAAGTTTAAAGATCTCTCTTCATTCGGCTTCACCAGTAATCGGGGTGAAAAATCAACAACAATGGTTTTGAATGCAAACATAAACAATAATATTGATACAATTGAAATAACAAAAGATATTTCAATTGGTACTTCTGAGTGGATTATTGTTTCTCCGACTACCAGTCATGCACCTTCAAATAAACAACCAGCAGTAACGTTATCGAAAGCTTCATCAAGTTTAGATTGGATGGGACTCAAAAATGATATTGGAAATTATATAAATAATCGATAAAAATTACCTGATGAATTACGATACTTGCTGTTGATACAATATTTTGTTTCCGATGAAAACTTCAAATGGCCTTTTGTCGAATGAAAGACAAACAATACTATCGAAAAGCGATTTTTGCGTCAAAATCATTTCAATAATAATAAACTGTGGCTGGTTCACTGACCTTCAAAGGCTGGCCTTTTTTGTGTACCTTGTGTTTTATTCGCCAAAGAAGTAGATAACGATCATTTGGGTTATTTTGTTCTTTCACCATGTCAACAATATGGCAAGCTGTTAGGTGTCGACGGTTTAATAGTTAGAGACAAGTTTAAAAAGTATCACAATGATAGCATCTTGGATGCTGAAAGATTTATTTCTGTATATCAAAACAAATGCGAGAGTATCGACGATTTGCTATTAAACAAACATAAATTGGAAAAAATTGAAAATCGAAAATGTTTAATACCGATTATCAAGACAGTTATACTTTGTAGTCAAAACAATATTCAATTGCGAGGACACAGAGATGATGATGATTTAAGCATTGATTCTATTATTAGTGGAGAAGGTAAATAAAGAGTCTAATGTTTGTTAATGATTTAGTATTAATTTTAGGTAATTTTCGTTTCTTCCTTCGCTCTCGAATTGATGCTGATGACTCGATGTTAGCAAACTATCTATCAACAGCTAGCAAAACTGCCACATACATCTCGAAAACAATGCAAAATGAATTAATTAAAATTTGTGATGACTTAATTCGAGGACAAACACTTAATGAAGTAAAGTATGCTAAATTCTTCACATTAATCGCCGATGAAACTACTGATGTGAGTAATATCGAACAATTTACATTTTGCCTTCAATATGCGTTTGAAAACAAAGAGCAAGAAAAATGTATTACTTTTCTATGAGTCGAAGTTCGAACTGGAGGTTTGGCTCGATTAATTCTTGAAGAATTAAAAACTCTTGGTCTTGGTCCAAATTTTATGGTAGGCAGGCCTATGATGGATGTACACTGTAAAGTAGAATATAAGTTATAGAATTTAATGACGGATATTCTAGAAATGCCCATATGAATTCATCGATCACTTTTTAATTCTTTGAAAATAAGACATTTGAAACTCTAAGAATAAG